CCCCAAAACCCCAAAACCCCAAAACCCCAAAACCCCAAAACCCCAAAACCCCAAAACCCCAAAACCCCTTCATATGATTCTCTATTGGAATTAATTCAAATTTTCAACATGTCTAAAATCTTCTCCATATTCAGAATTATGGTCAAAGTTCTCAGAACTATTCCTTGAGACTTTAATGTGATGAATTGACCCAATATTAGAAATATGTGGTGATTTGTTGTTGAACCTAGAAAGATTCCTTCTCTTCTCACGGATAAGTCTATGACCAGTATAGATTGACCTCCTCTTCCTGGTCTCATTTGGGGTTTTCAATCTTGTTCCTTGCATTTTAAGATTGTTGAACCCTTTATAAGATTTCTTAGCAAGCTGTGTAATTCCTAAATGTGTAGATGTAAAGATTTTCCTATAATTTTAGACATGATCCATACTTGAGTTTCTTGTTATCTTCAAATTTAATACTTTCAAGGTCCTTATTTCATTCCTCCTTGTTAAGATTCACCTCTATTGTTCTGTCAACTTTCTTCGTTGTTGCAAGTCTTGGACGGGATAATGACTCAAAATGTGAAGATATCTCAAGAGTTTTATTCATGTTTGTCTCTTGCATAAATGGGTTCATATCAATCGCGTATTCAGCATCAGTTAGAGGAACTGTTAAGTACTTTTCATATTCCAAATTTCCTAATTTCCATGGTTGTAGATTAGTATAGTCTGAGTATATGTTTTTGATAATCTCAGACCTCTTCAAATGAAGCCATCTTCTTGAAACGACTTTGTTCTCAAAGGTTATTGAGGAAGGATAGTACGAAAGACAAGCCATCTTGAAAGCCTTTAGTACCACTTGATTTGAATTTGAGCATGAGTATCAATCCTTATCAACAGTGACTACGTTATAGTCCTTCTTCGTATTTATAACAGAAGAGAGTTTGAGACGCTCCCTGCTATTTGTCTTCCTGACATGATTTATGGTCTTATCAAATTCCTTTTTACCTTGCTCTCTTTCATTAAAATCCCCATAGAGATATTGCTTGTCTGTCCTCTTCATCTTGGCAGTCTAATACATTACCGATGTGGAGTAGTTCAAGCACAGTTGCAGTGATTTCTCCAAGGTTCTTGATTGAAATATCATATCCAGCTTGTTTCGAAAGAATTTTGTCTAAATCATCTCTGTTTTTATTCACTTGTAAGGACATATCACTTTTATCTCGCTTCCTTCGCTTTGTTTCTTCATTAATAATGTTGTATATCCCATCTATTGAGCCTATTTCCAAAATGAATGATTTATAATAATTTAAGATTCTAGAAGATACAATTAGAAAGACCTCAATAAGTTCTGAGTTATGAAATACTGCACTATTTAGTAGAAAGGATCTGTATAACCTCTTCTTGAAGTTAATAATGATTTATCTGAAATTTTTGATATTTAATTAAAGTAAAGAGTGAATCCTGCTGCTAAAATATTGCTTTTAAGATGCATCTTTTAGTCATTCTTGAGACGATAATTTAATAAATTATTAAGGATTCTCACTATTCCCAAATGAAATTCTAAAGATATGGTCTGAAAGAAAGCCAAATCAGTAATATTTCTGTTGCTGAGACTACAAAAATGCTTGGAATAACGTGCATGTCATTAATTTCTAGTATTAAAATGACTATAAAAATAAAATTTGTATTTAATCTTAAGAATTTTTATATCTTAAAAGCTCCCTAATATACAAGAGTTTTGTATTGCATAAAATACCTTTCTGACTTTTTGGATAATTTTTACAACTTATATAAAGATTAATAGAAATTTATATGAAAATTTATATAGTTCTTACCAGCCTTTTCCTGGATCTCTTCGATAGATATATCAACTTTATTCTGGATTTTGTTCAACTATAAGTAATATACATCCCAGCAAATGTAAACCGCACAAGAACTTACTCTTCCATCAAGAGTCTTTCTTTCCTGCTTCATCACCCTTTCAATATCCTCCAACAATTCTTCCACCAACTCTTCCTTCATTTCATTCATTTTTGTATCAATCTTTTCCTCTCAGAATTCACCTAAATCAAATCACTCAAAAATCTAAAACCCCATCTCGAGCACCTTTTTCAAATCCAAACTCTCTAAATTCATCCTATCCACCCCTACTCCTCTCTAAAATACAATCCAATCCATTTCTCTTAAAATCCTCTTCTCCCTCCAACTCTCCATCCAATAAAACTCCTTACTAAAACCCTCATTCTGATCAGCACTCTTCTTACTATCCTCCTTCTGACTCTCAGGCTCATCTTCATGGATTTGTGTCAGAGTTCTATAGAAAGAGTTAGGCCAGAAGGGAATCTTAAGGAATTACAGTGGGAAATCAGGAATTTGGATAGGCTCCTGAGGGGCTTTATTTGGGACTAGTGATTGTCTCTGCACGAGATAGCTTGATTTTGCGGCTTGAGTGCAGGATTCGAGGTGTAGGTGAGCCTGAAGAGGGAGAGAAGTTTGAGCTTGATGAGACTAGGGGTTAGAAATTGAAATACCATCATCATTCTTCAAATCTACCTTTCCTTCTTCCACTTGTACTAAAATTTCAGTCTCTTTCTCCTTCGGCTTTTGTTTGGGCTTGAGTTCTTCTAAACAAACGTTTATATTCTTATTAGCGATGGTGCTGAAGAGTATCCAATTCATATAATAAACGATTACTTAGCAATATCCTGAATTGATACTAAAATGCCCCAATATAAAGCCTAAGCTGCTAATATATGCCGAGCTGTAAACAGTCTGATAGTTCAGCCAAAGTGTAGTGGGGTGCAAAATCTAATGGTTTCACACGAACACAATATTTGAAAATCCGCCTGCACAGGAATCAAAGCAGAGGAGGGGGTGGTACGGAAGCAAAGGATTTCTCCGAATGCTAAAGTAGACATAATACTTATAACAAACTGGGTTTAATGTTTTCATATTTACTACATCGTTTTGAGGGAGCCGTTCTCTCCCCACCATCTCTACTTTCTACTAGATTCCTGTACAGTCGGATTTTCAAATATTGTTGATTTTGTAAGACCATTGAATTTTGCACCTCACTATATTTACGCTAAATTTGAAGCCTGGACTGCCAGATTGTGCACTGCTCAGTGTATATTCGAAGTCCAGGGTTCATATTAGGGCATTTTTACTATTAATTGAGGGTGTTAAGAAGTTATTGGTTACATTGATTGGAAACCCTTCGATACCCATTGCTCGTAATATCATAATGATAGATACGACAAGATCAGAACTAATATAATATGGGCATTGTTTAAGCTATATTTTAGTCCAAGATTTAGTGGAGCAGTTTAAGACTTGAAAAAAATGTGCAGAGATAATGTAGAGAAAAATTCGAAATGTTATAGATCGATGAAGAAGGTTTAAGTAAAATTTCGAACCTTTCTCAATGTATTTAGTCTTTTTTATGGCCAGTAGATCTTTCTTCTTTTCAATATTCTTTAATCCTAATTTTCTTATAGAATTTATAGAGTGATCTCTTCCCTTTTTGGGATCTTCTACTTCACTATCCGATGTTACAAGAGGTTTCTCGGTCTCGATTTTTTTAAGTTGCATCTTTTCAAAATTAGGCCAAGCTTTTCCTTTATATTGGATATATTTCCTAATCCTTTGTCTATCACCTCTTTTTACAAGGACATAATCCATAGCTTCTGCGATCATGTAGTTGACCTTCCCAGGGACCTGGCCATGCACGAATTCTTTTAATGGTGAAATTGATTCTACTCCTTTCTCAAGTACCATTGTTCTTTCTCTGTTAATTCGAAGTTCTTTCTGAAGATTCTTTATTTCAGAAAGATACTCCTCCTTTGGAGTAGAAGTATCATTGAGACCTTGTACTGTAATGCCAAGATTATCGAAACTTCTCTTGAAAACTTCTAGTTCTGAAGATTAATACGAACCTCACCTGCTGAAATCTCATTTACTTTCTCTCTCTGATATGCTGTTACATTTTTATAGTGCGCTTCATTTGCCTTTAAGGCATTAAACCTTTCAATAATATCAATGTACTAGATAGTTATGGAGTAATAGGTTACATCATCATTGGATTTTGTACTAACTTGGTTAATTTTGCTAATTCAAGAATCATGGTATGCCCCACTCATCTTCCGTCATTGTCTGACATCTCCTCGAAGAGCGTCGTTTAGATCAGCCAACGCTCTCATGTCATCATGGATAAGCCTTGCTCTTTCTTCGATCCTGATTGTAAAATTAGTTGAAATTTAGACAATTTTAAATTCAAGAAGAAGTGTAAATTTGAATCATAATTTTATTCAACACTTACCTAGAGACTTCGTTGACCAAATGATCTGTCTTTGTTGTCAAAGAGAATTGCTTCTGACCCAGTCTTGTTTCTAGTTCCACCATAGATGCTCTTATCGGGGTAATCTCATCGCATTTATTTTGAAGCCTTTTTCATCAATTCATCATAAGTTTCAAACTTACGCTCAAATTTAGAATGAGCCTCAACAAGATCTCTACATTTCTCAAATACTTCTCCAAGCTGGCTGCTTATTGGAGTTATCAGATGGGTTAGAATATCTCTGATCCTGAACCATGGTTAATTTTTACGAATTTAATACAAAAGAATAATATTTCATTTAAAATAATCACTCAAGTAGCTATAGAAAATTTGAAAACTCAGCACATTTCCTTCTGAGCCTTCGATGACCCATTGATAAATTTGAATTTCAAACTTTTGTCAAAGACTTATAACCTTTGTTGGCTAATCCACATTTTGATTGATTAAGACCAGGTTGAAAGATGAAAAATAGATCCCACACTGGGAACACCGTCCAGTATGAGATTGTACTTACCTGCTTTCCATCTCAAACCAGGTCTTGGGCATTCCAGATTTGGTATCACTCATATTTAATTTTAATTCTATCTTTGATTTATTTAAGGGGTTTTGGGGTTTTGGGGTTTTGGGGTTTTGGGG